TCCCCCACCTCCCTCCCTCCCCTCCCCTCCCCTCCCCTCCCCTCCCTCCCTCCCTCCCTCCCCTCCCTCCCCTCCCCTCCCCTCCCTCCCCTCCCCTCCCCTCCCCTCCCTCCCCTCCCTCCCTCCCTCCCTCCCTCCTCCCTCCCTCCTCCCTGATTGCTACTCTTCACCACAGGAGAGGAGCAAGGGCAACTTTCCGGGGCCGTGCCTTATCATCCAGCGAGGGAGCATGAAGACGCTGAAAGACGTTGGCCTGCCAGGAGCTTCTTGCACCCGACTGATCCTCTCTGTGCAGGTGGTGGAGGCAGCAGCGAGGGGAGTGCAAGCTGCCATCCTCCCAGTGGGTGGTAGCGATGGCGGCGAGGTGTGCCGGGAGGACAGCTCCGTACCTCTGATTCATGTGGTCAGCACACCTTGCAAGACTTGGTCTTGGCTTGCAACTCGTTGAACTTGCTGCCAATCATTGAAGTATCCAGCGAGGAGGAGATCGGGGCGGCAGTGCAGGCTGGCGCCCAGGTATGGTGAAGGGCTGTTGTCCCATGTTTGCTGATGCGGCGGAGCCAGGCGCTCCTAGTCAAGGAAGTCGAGTCACTGGAGACGTCGATGAGACTCTTCGAAAAGATCCCCAAACAGGTGAGGAATGGCTGTGGTAGGAGAGGAGGAGGGAGACTTCTCCCCGCAGGTTGTTTCCCTTTGTTCCATCGGGGGGATGCAGGAAGACTGTGCGGAGCTCGAGCAGGTTCAAGACCGAGAGTCTCGTCACCCGCTGAACAACATCACTTCAGGCAGCCGCATCAAAGATCGTGGGGTATGATGGAGTTGTGATATCTCAGGCGGCAAGGTTGTTACGACATGACTTCTTCCTTCCTTTCCCTCTGCTGTCTTTCTCCTCGCCTTTCTCGCTCCGTCCTCCTCTGGTCTGCCTGCTTGCCTTCAGTTTCTCATCTCTTCGTGTAGATCTGTGGGGGATGTTGAGTATGTCGAGTGGATTTTGTCGAATTTGACGAGCAAGAGATCGAAAGCCGTTGAGTTTTCCATCCAAGAGTTCAAGTGAGATGTGCTGTCAGGAGGAGGAATGGGAGGAAGAGATGATGGAGGAGGAGGAGGAGGAGGAGGAGGAGGAGGAGGAGGAGGAGGAGGAGGAGGAGGAGGAGGAGGACTGGGATGGGGAAAGGTGGAGGGCGGCTGGCTCACTGCAGTGTAGGAAGAGGCATCCTACGATCACCGAGCGATGGGACGCCGATTGTGCGCAACGGGATCCTACCTCATGGTTGCGAATATGAGAGGGAGGACGGAGGGAACGGGGGAGACGACTTGGTGGTGGTGGTGGTGAAGGAGAGAGGGAATACGAGGATGGGGAGAGAAAGGAGGGGGGAGCAGAGGGAAGAGGAGGGGGAGAGGGGGCAATGGGGAGGACTACTGATTCTCTTGCAGGAAAAAGTGGAAGCAATACAAGAAGACACGAGATTATCAGATCAGAGCTCAGATCTGGGGTGCGTGACGGTCAATGCAGACACTTTATTGTTCAGGTTCAGAATCTGATATCACCTCTACCTCTTCGCTTCTGTTGTGATAGCATGCTGGATCCAAGCTCTCCCCTGCCCCTCCCCCCTGCCCCTTCTCCTCAACGCTCTCATCCTCTTCCTCATTATCGTGAAGCTTTGCTGGGCGCCCTCCCTGCTCCTCCTGGTTTTCTCTCCTCTCCCCACCTCCATCCACATCGTCCTTCACCTTCTTGTTGCTGTCCCAGCCCACAGCAGATGCCTCATTGGTCATGTCCATTTCGTCAGCATTTCGTTTGTTTCTCTCCCCCCCTCCTCCCCCCTCCTCCACCACCAGCCTCGAAGTACAGCCCGCCTCTCCAGCGCAAAGTCCATCTTCCTCCTCCCCACCTCTCTCAGACGCTCTCTGCCCTTCTTCCGATCCCACCGGCCACAGGAATGTCCCGATCCTCGTCAGCGGGTTGTAGAAGAAAGGACGGCGTGCTCGTCGTGAGTAGAGGCAGATCCAAGGAGGAGGGACTTCGTCAGGACGGGGGATGGAAACTTGAGCGGGAGCATCCGATAAGGTTCCCCTCCGCCCCTCCCCATCCTCCGGGAAGACCTCCAGGCACGGAGTCTCTCCTCGAGACCCCACGGGCTGCTCGCGTGCCGGCGACTCTTCATGCCTGCTGGCCGGAGAATCGGAGCTGGAAATCTGTTGTAGGAACGAGGAGGGACAGCAGGAGGGAGGGGGGGGGAGGAGGAGGAGGAGAGCAGGAGGAGGATGAAGTGAGAATTGCAACACGCAAAACAAGATTATCTACCTTCTTGTTCTTCTGTCGCTCTCGGACTTGTCGAATCAGATCTTCGAATGTTCGCCCACCTTGTACTTCTCCCTTGGTACTCCTGAGCCCTTACGATTAACGAGTTCCCCTCCTCCTCCTCCTCCTCCTCTCCCCCTCCCCCCTTGGTCTTCAGCTCCTCACGTGCACTCTCTCTTCCCCTCTCCCTCTCTCCCTCTCCCTCCATTCTTTTTCGCTTCCCCTATTCTCTGTCTCGTTGTCCAGTTACTCCTCTATGCCTGCCCCCCTGCCCCTCCTTTCCTGCACTCCATCCCCTTTCCTCCCCTCCCACCGCTCGTCCGCTCCTCACCGGTCGAAGAAGTTTGCTTTAGTTCTGTTCTGCGCGTTCTGTTCCTGCGCGAGCTCTCTGATAATCTGTTTGCGGAAACTCATTCACAATTTGACGCCGGAAACTCATTCAAAATTGGACGCCAACAGTGATGGTGTTAACAAACACTGAATGAAGTTGCACGACTGACCTGAGCCCTCAGGTCATCCTCTGTCTTTGAGATCCCACGATCACATTCAGCATTGAAACGTATGCAGAACTCCTGCGCAACGGTACCATCATGAGCAGAACAGACTCTCTCAATAGTGCCTTGTGAAGCTTCTCCAGATGTTTCTTGTCCCCTTTTATCAGACTCTCTGGGATCCCTGAATGACAATGAGTTCAGGTTGATGACAAGCACAGGCCATTCATGTCAGGTAAGGCACCTGTGTCTTTGCAGAGCTTCTTCAATGCTGTCTCGCTCATCAGGTTGTAGTTGTATTTACCGCTGATGTGTTTGGCAACGACTGCAGCATCCTGGTTCATGACTTTGACCTGCCCATGAGATTTCATCTGACCATTCTGATGCTGCCAGATGTTTCAGAACGGAGCTTGCGAGAGTTATGCCGTCTTCACCTTCTTCAGTACGGTGCTCCGGAGACTTGAGTACATTTGTACAACTTGACCGAGCAGAGCATTCTTGCGCAGGTCACCCTCAACACAAGGTTCACGGCAGATGGGGCAGAAGTTGTGGTGCTGCAGTGACCGTCTGATGCATAACGAGCAGAAGTTGTGGCTGCAGCCAAGAATCATGGGAGTCTTGAGGAGGTCCTTGCATAGTTGACACTTGAGGCAGTCCTTGAGGGGCTTGAACTCTGACTTCAGTGAAGCTCTCTCCCATGCGATCTCACCTTCCATCACCTGCATCACTCTCAGCGCTGCATGCAGCTCCTGTGGCTACTGCGGTATGACTTCATGAGATGGAAGATTTGGTTTGTTGTTTGGAATATTCATGGTTAGTGGAGGAGCCGGGATCAGCAAGAGCAGCATGGAACAGAGGAGCATGAACATGAACTAGCATGGGTAGCAGGGACCAGAGGAGCATAAATGAGCATAGATGTGCATGGAGGAGCATGGAAGAGCATCTATGAGTCAGAGTTGTCACCGGCGCCTCTCACCTAACGCGCCATTGAATGTGCAGGAACGTATGTAACGGTGGCGCGATTTACTGTAACCGAACACCAACCGTAGATAACCGTTTGGATATGAATTTTCAACCTGGAACTCCGAGGCGTGTGTACGAGGGCGAAGCGATGCACACACAACATGACCTCCGAGAGACGCAGCTCATGTCTAATGCGGTAGACACCTGTACCATGCAGCAGGAATTGCTGATGAGGTTCGCTTGAATGGTCGGTGCTTGTAGTTCACCGTTTGTATGCTCCAAGCAAACAAGCATTGTGGGGTATGGACTCACAAGTTCAGAGGCAAGATGGATTCATTCCTTGGTCACAATCTTGTCGTTGATGCAGCACGATTCCATCGATCGCAATCGTAGACGAAAACGCAGGGACGCAAAACGATGAGCTGGATACGATGGTATACATATTCTTGATGACAGTGTACAGATAACCTGGGACGACGGCCAAGTACGCGCAGCTCAAGGGCTGATGTACAGCATGCAAAAAAGCACCAACACTTGAGAGAAACATGTCCTGGAGGCAGAGTGATAAAATGTGGACCAGAAAATGGATTGATTGATGAAAGCCAAGCATCGAGGTATCGATGTTAGTATAAGCTGTTGCTGCAAATTAAGGGAGGACGGCATACCATCATGAGAAAGCGTCAAGATACGCAGAGGCACCAGCAAAACACCGACGTCTGTTTGCAGAAAAATGAAGTAGCACATCTTCTGTGACGTAAGAACCCATATACCACCATGAAGAACAACACTGCAGGTGAGAAAGTATAATTGATTTGTGGGCCACATTCGGATCTTAGTGCTGAGTTGCATGCTGAACACGAGATCTGCTGGTTGTGAGCAAGCGCAGGGAAAGCTGTTGGCAGAAGTGTATGCCAGCATGCGCTGAAAGTGCGCTGCCTTAAAGTCAGGAACGGAAAGTTTCATTATGGCAGGTCGAGGCAGGGGGAAGTGCGGATGATACTTGCCAGAAAATTTCCTTCACTTTAAAAAAATCTAGTGCACTCCAGCAGAAACGGCAGCGCTCTGCTCAGAGCCAAGGTAGGACTGCATGTTTCCCTCAGTGTCGACGAGTCCGAGAGCGTTTCCAACGACGGAGCCAACAGCAACGTGGGCCTGCAAACGGCATCACGAATCAAGGGATCAACAACAAGAGATCATCGCTCACCGCAGTCACGTCAGACCAGCCAGGGGTGGGGGTGGGGTTCACATGCACAAATCCAGCAGAGCAGTTTCCCTTGTCCTGGGAAGCACAGCGGTAGACTCCGTTCCAGAGAAGCTGCAAGACAGCGTCACATCTCAGGTCCAGTGGTGTCAACACACACACACCCTTTCTGATCGAACAAAGACATGTCACAATACATAACGATCCGTTTGAACAGTAAATCTCAGTTCTGGATTGGAGTAAAGGGGTATCACATGAGGAACGGATCACATAACAAGATTGCCACAGCCCCCAAGTTTCTCGCAAACACTGCTTCATAAATCACAAAGCTAGGTTCTGAGGCGGTGGATGAAGAATCATGTGGAAACATATGGGAAAGGAATGACGAGTACAAGAATTGCCTTTAAGGTACTGCGAGAAGCAAAATGCTGCAATCCGACCATATGCATGGGGCACAAGGAGACATATGTGGGATGGGACAACGAAGAGAAGAGTCTGAAGAATGATTCCAGATGACTACACAAGAGGAGAGAGGGGAGGAGAGGAGGAGGAGGAGGACTGTCGCTAGCGTTACCGCGAACATGGCGGGGCAGTCGAGGTCAAATCCACGCGTTTCGGTACCCTATTACTAGGAGGGTACCATTGACTAAAAGTTGTACCGCTCAAAATAGATCGACCACCCTACCCCCTGTGAAAGCTTTCATCCTGTTAACGGGTCCTCACCAGTTTTTTAGACCGTTTCGAGTCAAAATGACGGTTATCGTTTTGAGAGCTAACTAAACTCACTCTTAGCTTTTATATGTAGTCAGGTGGCGTAGTTGTAGCAGGCGCCGCAGGAATGCCAGCTGGGGAAGCCTCCGCACAGGCCAGTAGGCTCAGCATGGGTCGCATGATACGTGCGGTGCAAGAAGAGCTGGAGCCCGACATACCTACCAATGCGTCATATAATGTCATTGTTGAACATGGGTTTCGTTGCTTGGGGAAAGAACCCCCAGAAGGATTGCCATTCATCCAGATGGTGCAGCGACTCTATTCCCTTATCTTTGAAGCTTCTGATTCCTTTTCATCATCTGCTTCCCCTCCTCAGACGGGGTCTGCTACTTCTACTCATACTGAGAGAGAAAATGTTGCAAATACTTCGAGAAGGGGATCGGAACAACCAGCTAGAGTCCGGATCAACCATGTTGAAGAGGATGTGCAAAGCTTTATTCAGACGAGCTCTCAAATACCACAAGTCCAGAGGCCGCAGGTTCTAGGGCTAAACGATTCGCAAACACATTTAGAACGACAACCAGGTCCACAGCCTGTAGGGGCGAACCTGACTAATCGCATGGAAGTCAAGTGTGAGTTGGTTGACGAGGATAGCAAGTCCGTGCGAGTGTCAGACAGAAGTCTCCTTGTACCCAGTCCAGAACAGGCACCGCTAGCGACTCCTCTAAGTACAGATTCAACGCAGCAAGTTCGACCATATCATCAGTCTCAGCGCCAACATCAGATGAGAATGGCTAAGAACTCTGATCGTTGTCACAATGATGAGGGATGCAACAGAACCTTGTTTTCAACGAGCAACAATTCACGAGCAAACGCAATCAACTCTCCGGAATCACGTTCAAGCAGACAGGCTCAAGATTCTCAAAGTAACTCTTTGATCCCCAGCTTGATTCGATCTTACACGTTTATGAACAGGTGAAAGGAGATATTCCTCAGACGATTGTTCTGATACTTCCACGGTGACGTCGAGCAACCTTGTCACGAGGAAAGGACCACAAGGTGATCTTTCTACCTCGTCCTGTCAGGCTCGACCTGAATTGTGATTCAACATAGGCAGCCCAAGCTCAGCTGTCAGAAACTCGAGATTCGGAGAGACTTCCACAGCAGGAGAACGCTTGTTGTCTCAGGGGCTTGCTTCTAATTTCAACAGAAGAACACGAGAAACCTTCAGCTCAAACGACTTGTGTACATATCAGGCTTCAAGAGGTGATATTGAGATAGCTCCTGTTAAGTACTTGTCACGATAGATTGATTGGTCCATGTAAAACAGACTCCCGTGCTGCTGTCGAATCAAGATCATCACGTCTTCAAGGAGATGTTGCGGAGGAGATTGAGAATGAACCCTCTTCAATGGTGAGGACTCAATCTGATCGCATGGAAGGAAGGAAAACTCACTTGTTCTTTGTACAGGAAGGTGAAGGTGCGAAAGCCATCATCTGTATCAACAACGGTAGCGGTCCAACCAGGAAGCGAAAGCGATCGTCAGTGAATGGTGGGCTTGGAAACGCAAAGCAGGTCTCTGGGAAGCGAGCGTCAAAATTGGTGCATCGGTTCATACCAAATGATCACAGGAAAGTTGAATCGGAAAAGGAAATCTTCACACAGGCTAGGATGAAGGACCTGACAGATGAGGACGTCATTCTCCTCCTGCTTCAATGCTATGGGAGAGTGATAAAGAGGAATGAGGACCCACACTTGTTTGACAACTTTCAGTGGACAGACTCTTTGAAGAGCATCTGGAAAGCCATGCACGAAGGAGTCAAACCAGCAGCTGTCAAGAAAACCTGCAATTTTTACAAGGCCTCAGTAGTCGCATGTTACTACACGCTCAGTCAGCTCAGTCCCTCTGAATCTTCTTGGTACGTTGGTAAGATAATGGACTGGGAAGAACCAGGTTTCCACATCAAATTTGTGGGTTACGAGGGCAACGAGCCAATCGACATGGTTGGTGATCAAATCGAGTATGAGACATCGACAGAGCGGGAGCTTTGGGCTTTTGACATCTTCAATGATGTTCAAATCAAATTATTGGAAAGACATGTCCCTGAAATCAGACACTTCTTGATGGATAAAAGAATTTTCTTCTGATCAAGCGAATCCAAGTTTTGTTTGTTGTTGTATGGTTGCTTAAGATTCGATGCGTGGATTTTGAGAATGATCTTGTAATTTCATGACTAAATGAAATCAGGTGTAACCTGCGACAAGTAATGATAGTCATCCATTCGAGTCCAACTGTCACTTGCGCTTTCTGCGAGTGGTCACTCCATCGTTTCCTTGTATCCCGACGGCTTTTGAAGACGCTACAACTATCAAGACTTCACCTTACCTTCAGTCGCCCTGCTCATGTGGGGAGAACCTCTTTCAGTAGGTCGATCGCTGAGCCCTGACGCTCTCAGCCGGCAGAGTTAGGAGCGGCGACTGTGGTAGTCTCAACGAGCGCCTGGTGTACTGAAACATCCCAGAAGCCGAGGTTGACTTCCGTCAGCAAGACTCACTTGAACGTGATGGCATGAGATCGTCAAAAGCCTTTACTGAACCACAAGCATCCTCAGTCTCCAGCCCTCTTAAAAGGCAGGCTCCTCAGGTCAGTCCCATCGGAATACTTATCAAGACGATGATTCAGCCTCTGGGCCACTGGCCCTGGCACTGCCGTGGCTGGCCATGACAGAGTAAACGAGAGTCTGCGTCAGACGTCCGAACGCTTACGGTTACTGCCATCTCTTCCCTTCCATGTGGCAGAGAACGATCTTCAGCATCCTGAAGGAGAGTTAGCAAGGCAACAAACTCAGAGAACCGGAGGCCATACCTTCTGACAGGCTCAGCAGCTCCCCACAACAGCTGCAGCAGCTTTGCGTCAGCGGCTCAGGGCACGAGGAAAGCTATCGGGACCTGATCTCCGACCGTGAAGCAAGTCAAGTACTCCGGGCCCAGGGTCATCTTCCTCAGCCTTCCAACCGGGACAATCAGCTTCCCACTGCAGCCTCTGTCAGCCACGTTGACCCTCAAGACGACAGGGTCAGCACTTGACGACAGCTGGCGAGAGCTCGGCGACGGTGCTCTCCTTCGTGTTGGGGATGACGCGAACCTGTCCAGGTGATCAACGGACGGCACTGGACATCAGCGTTCTCTTGCTACCCATTGGTTGTGCGATGCGATCGCAGCCTGCAAACTGAAAGTCAGCGCGTGCTGGCCTGTCACTGCTTCCAGCTGTCACCTCGATCTGGTCCATCGGGACATCTTGCTTGAGCTTGATGGTGATGGCCTGCCCGGCAACTCAGAGGCTCGCAGCAGCAATCGCTCATCACCTGGCTGTGGCAGCGCATGGCGCCGATGCGGACACACTGGCCATCGATCGGGATCTGCTCAGAGGGTGAGAACGACGTCTCCTCCTGCAGCGCTCACAGTCTGTGAAGTCCCGAGGATCTTGTTGGTCTCTGCAATCCCCTTCCACTGTGAGCAGGTGTGACAAACAACTCCCCACACGCACTGAGTCACCTCCTCCTTGGTTTGACCGTTCTCCATGGCCTGTACATCACAGAGAACTCGCTGAGTATATAACAAGTGCCCTCCTGCCGGCTCGCACGCACCTTGTCGATCCATGGGATAAGCGCTCCCGCCAGCGGGGCTCCGAAGTTCTCCTTAGGGAAAGAATCCTCCTGGTAGACCTCTGCGGCAATATGGGATTGAGGGAAGTTGGCGATCTGCTTTGCTCCTCCCACTCACTCGTGATGGCCCTGTCGAGGTCCAGGATGTTTGCGCGATCATTCTTCAACGCAGGATCCACCTGATACCCAGCTCACAAGTACGGACAAGCACGTGCAGCTCTTACAGCCCCGAGCTTCTCCATCTGCAGGACCAGCTCCCTCATGTTCTTTGCACCTGGACATGAGCGCATGAGCGCAGGGAGGAAGGGGCGACAGGACAGACAACCAGCTCCTGACGCTGCTTGATACGTCATCGAGGTCATCCACTCCACCCATCCCTTCTCGAACAGTCCCGCGAGCGCCTGCTTGTCGTGTCAACGGCAGCACGAGGGTATCCTCCGCCTTCACCATCAGCATGAGTGAGACTGTACAGTTTCCACCGACATAGTCCCTGATGCCATCCTGAAGACCTACAGGACACCGTTCCATGTCACTTACTCGTGCTAGTAAAATGAGCGTGACCTTTGTCGATCATCGCCCGGTTTACAGGATCCAGCACGATGATGGCATCATCCTTCATTCTCAAAGCAGAAGCAGCATCGATCCAGTATCCTAGGCATGCAGTCAACACCGTCCATTGACCACATCGTGATGGTTTCGCAGGGCCGAGGGTGCGGAGGAAGCAGGTAGACTGCAGACTGTAGGAGGCGCTTCTCCACCTTTCCATCCAGATTGACGCAGCTTGGGATGAACTTCGTTGGTGTAGTCACCTCCCTGGCAGGAAACTACGACATCCATGGCGGATAAGTCAGCAATGCTAGAAAGCAGGGTCAGCCCCATCTTGCACGGATGTGATTAGAATCCCAAGACCTGAACGCGTCCACGAGAGGTGGGCTGCTTTGTCCCACGTTGGGTCCTTGACCACCAACATTGGAGGTTGTGAAGAAGGTGGCTTCGAAGGATCCGTCAAAGTCTTTCTCCTCCATCATCCTCTCCAGCAGCACTGAACCAACCATCCCTCTCCATCCCACGAATCCAACCTGTGAAGCGGCGGCTGTCAGAGTCTACACTGCATGCGCAGCTGGCGCATGCCCTCCCCTCCCCCCTGCTCTTCTTCTCACTTCTGAGACCCCATGGCGCCTTGCACCTCCTGCTCCCTCCTCCCTCCTCCCCTTCTCACCTTCACCATGGCGAGCGTACTGTGCCAAGGAGGCGGGGCCGCCTCCCTCTAGTTCATGAAAGTTGACTAAACATTGATGCTACCCGGAACAAGTACCCTTTCCTACTTGAGTAAATAATGTATCTACTTGAGTAAATAATTTTTATGATTCTTCTGTAGGACAGCACTTTCAGGAGCTATGGGGTAAGGTAGGAAACAAAGTTTAGTCAAAATATTCTTACTACCCCTAGAATTAGTAAAGTAAAACATTTCTTCCGATTCACATAGTCCATTCGGAGGACAGCAAATCCCCTGCACGAGCTACCCCACCCCACCAACTAGAGGGTCATCCCTCGATTTTAGTCTATAATATAATATTACTTAACTTCCCTATTACATATTTTAGTTAATTATTTAAAGGAGTCCACCCCTCTGATTAGAGATTCCCACCCCTACCCCCAAACCCTCCTGTCACCACCCCTCGGGTCCTTCGCTGGCTAGGCACCCTCGGGGTCGACCTCCATCCTCTTTCTGAGAACCGTCCGGCTTTCGCTCTTTCCCTTCCTCCCTCCCTCCCTGCGTTCCTCCTCTCCCCCGCCTCCCTCCTCCCCCAACCCTTTCCCTCATTGCCTCCCACCTGCACGCTTCCCATTGCTCATCCTGCACCAATTTGTCTCTTCTCCTCTTCATCTTCTTTTTGTGAACTGTTCGCTTTTTCTCCAGCTTGGTGCACCCGAACGTAACCTTCATAGACCATGCCGCCTGTGCCGCTCTCGACAAGGATACCAGTGTCCTATGAACCCGTGGTGAAGAGCCGTATCCAGGTGCGCTTTCGAACATTTTGCTAGGCCTCTCTTGCCTCCTCGTCTCCTCTTACCGTGCATGCTTGCCGTGTGACAGGCCAAACTTGAGTTCTACCTTCCGAACGCGACAGACAGCGTAAGGAGTCTGGTCGTGGGGACGAACTTCGATGCTGAGAGATGTTGTGACAGGTGCTGTGTGACTATGTCATGGTCATGGTGGGGAATCAGAAGACTTCAGAGCAGATCGCTCAAGACCTGGATGTAAGGCTCGAGCTCGCTTGTTGTCCCTTGACGAGGCGGGTTAGGCTTTCCTGGGTCCAGACGAGGCCAAGGAGTTTGTTACCTGGCTCTGGGAGCTGTTGACCTCTGTGGAGAAGAAAACCATAGTGCTGACAGGTCTGTTTGGTATGGAGCACTGAACCGGGCCCTGACGCCCGACGGCACCCCAGATGAGGAGAAGAAGTTATCTCAAGCGGCTGCCGAGAACTCGAAGGCAGAAGAAACAAACACGTCGCGAGCCCGGTGCTTGTCTCCGGCTCATGTTTCCTCACTGATAGCCTGCATGGTTTCTCAGCTCCCGTTCTCGGTCGCGGGACAACTCCAGGTGATGGCTCGTTGCCTTGTTATCTGCTGCCTGCGATCCTTGACTGCTCTGTCCCAGGGAGAGAGATAGGAACATCTACAGGTTCTTTCTCCTCGAGGAATCTGAGGAGAAAATGAGATCGCTGTTGCAGTGAAACGGTTGCAACGTTCTCACGGTCCCACCGGTCGCGAGACCGGTCGAGGTCAAGGTCAAGGTCTCGGAACAGGGATCGACAGAGGTACGTTGAGCCCTTACGCTGCGAAGACTTTATGACAGAGACATGTTCAAAGGGATCAGGGTGATCGCAGAAGGGATGATTACCGGTAGAGTTAGAGAACGGCGCTCCACCCTTCCTTGATTGCATGTGCTCAGGGGTGAAGGATACGACCGGAGGAACTTCCGTGGTCAGATCTCTTCTCGCCTCCTGCGCGATGCTGTCAAGGTGATTGTGGAAGGAGGAGCGACGACTCTCGTTGACACTGCGCAGACCGCCTCACAACAGGATGAGGAGACCAGTAGGAGGCGGGGAGCCTATGGGAGCCGAAGCAGAGTCAGCGATGTTCGTGACGACGACGAGTCGCGCAAAGAGTCTACTGCAGAGAACGATCCCATGATCGGGCGCTTCAGATCGGATGCAATCTTGGATGTGAGAAGAGCAGGCCACTGAACACGATCCCTTCTCACTGGGACAGCAGGAGAGGAAGAAGTCTCAGGGCAGAGCTGGAGTACAAGCACTTCCATTGAGTGCCCTTGCTGCCGGTCAGAGGTTAGCCATCAGCCTGAGCCAGTTTGACCATCATCGCAGACGACCTGAGGAACATTCTAGTGAAGAACCGCAAGTCAAACCAGGTGGGTAGCAACCCTTGTCTGCTCGAGTCTCTTTGGACCTCATTCTTGGTTCCAAGGCATCAAAGAATGTGAGCTCAGAAGTCAGCAAGCCCCAGGTGCCCCAACTATCCCTCGTTGAGCGCAGATTCTGAGACGTTGACAGGAGGAGGGAGAGGAGGAGGGGCCCAAGGAGAGCAGTGAGAAGGTGGAATTCAATGTCACACTCCCCGATGAGGCCCTCAAGGTTTCGCCTCTGAGTTTCTTACGGCGGTCACTTCGTCTGATGCTCTTTTGTGCAGGACAAATCAGAGAATATTGATGTGGAAGACCTGGGAGAGGTATCAGTCATGCAGAGCTGACAAATCTCTCACACGCTGAAACCCTCCGTCCTGTCAGGGCTACCAACCTTACGAGGAGTACGATGCTTATGAAGAGTACCCCCCCTACGAGTACTATCCCTACGACCCTCGCCGCGGAATGAGATCTCGCGGGAGGCCACGAGGAGCGTACGCATACAGAGGAAGAGGAGGCTTCTATGTACGTTTTGCTTCCACCCTTATCAGCCCTGATGTGCTGCAGCCAAGGGAAATATCGAAGCCACGAGGCATGGGAGCTGCTCGCGCTCGAGGTAGAGGCTCAAGTCAGCGGGTACGTCTGAGCTCCTATTCCCTCAGGTGGTGCCAGAGGTCGCGGCGGGACGTTCACGGCAAAGAAATGGGTCAACCCAGCCAAGGTCGAGCTGATGCAAGGAGATAGGGAGCTTGCTTCTTGACGGGGACTCAGGAGGGGCAGGCAGCAAAGTCGGAGGAGAACGGCGAGGCTGCTGGTACGGAAGGCAACCCTTCTAGCGCTGATGCCGCGAGCAGCCAGCCGGTCAAGGTAGAGAGAGAAGGTTGCAAGCACTGTCGTGTTGACCATGTGAGCACAGGTGACAAGAGCCAATGCACCGGTAAGCAACTGCACCTGCCTCAACAGGCCCTTTCCCTCCTCTCGGTCACCTGCTCGATGTTAGCTGGGGTCAAATGCTCTCAGTCTGGCAATTGAGTCTTCCTCATCCACCATCATCTCATCATCTGGTCTTGTGCGCTGCTCATCACGGTCTCGACAGGTCATCGGAGTATTGAATCTCGACGGCGACCTGAGCCTGGTGGAGAAGCATGGCATGTACAAGGCTGCCAAGTGGGTGAAACCAGGACTGAAGACTCCAGAAGGAAAGCAACAGTCGACTTAGCCAGAGAGGCTGGGACCCGCTCCTCGTGTCTCGCAGCAGAGGCTGCGAAAGTAATCTGATCATTTTGTGAAGGGGGTCTCTCAAGGAAGCTACTTTGAGGTCCTTGTCTTACCTGCAACCCCTGGTCTCCCCTCATGACAACATCCCCCATGTCTGTCCAAGGAACTCCAACGGCTCTCGTGAACAAGCCTGTCTGCTCCTCCATTCCTAGTCCTCACTAGCTGACGGAGTCATGACGGAGTCAGATAGAGAGGGCAGATTAGCGGTGACGGGAGTATCTCCCTCAAGAAGCAAAGAGCAACATCGCTAGATAGTGTTCTGAACATCTCAATCTCAGCATCACTTAACCAGCACCCACGTGTGACCTTGTTGTCACCGCGCACACAGTGACGACGACGACGAGCCCCGTGAGCTTAACTTGCTCAGTAGGGCTGTTGCTCAAAGACGAAGAACAGCAGTCTTTCTCTCATGTGCAGCTGGTGGACGAGAACGGGTCAGCCCTGGTCGATGAGCAATCAAATCCACTATCTATCATGATAGGCTTTCAACATGTCAAGACTCGGATCAATTTATGATCGGAAATTGAAGTCTGAGCTTTCAGGCCTACGCTCTTGCTCCATCCTTGTCTGCATCAGCTTGCTTCCTACATGGACGGCCCTGAGGGTTTCAAAGTTAAACTCACATTGAGGGCTGGCAAGTCAATCACATACCCTTAGCATGACGATCGATGTACTGGAGTAGAGTCAAAGTGATCTGTTGGTTTCGAACCTGATCCTTGTTCGACGTGTCCTTGGCGTTATGGAGAGCACCCAGAACATTCTTCAGCATTTCCATGTAGAAGTCGTCCTCCTTCTCCGCATCTCCAGCGTGTTCCTTATACTTGATCCCCTTCGGTTGATACCGCTCGATGACAAACTTCAAAACATCTTTCAAGCATTTATTGTGTTGTTTGAGGACTTTCAGCTCGGGAGCCAGCTCCATCAGGAATCGAGCATCTTCAGCTGATCTTTCATCGTCCATCTGTTCTTGCTTCAATGCTTGCTCTGCTCTTTGGTACCAATCCAACTCACAGAAGACTTGTGGATAGCACCCATCAGCCAGTTTTTTGCATCGAGAAAAAGCGTCTTGTGCTGCATCTTGGAAGTGAAAGATCTCTTCATACACTTTCCCTATCTCAGAGAGCAGCTCTGCTTGAATCTCTGGACAAAGTCCTGCTGTTGCCTCGATGCCGGACCTGAAAGCTACAAGAGCGTCGCAGACAGCATTCATGTCCATGTCCCCGTTCCGAGCATCCTTGTAATGACTCCTTCCCTGCGAGAGTAACATCAGACTGCTTGTTCTGGCCATGCTGTCTTTTTGCAAAGTCTTAATCTCCATGAAAGATTTCTCGAAGCCCTTGGTCATTGGAAGATTTCTGAGTAATTCATCAATCATGTTCACAAGGTCTGGAGTCAGCTGGATCAATTTGTACGAACATTCTAGGTCGTGGAGCTTTTTGCATTCGTCACAGGCGTACTCAATGTAGGCAAGACCACAGATAATCCGAACTAAAGCATCAATGTTTGAATCATATGCAAACTCCCAGCAAATGTCAACAGACTTCTTCGTATCTTTAGAGATGTGATTGCTGCATCTCAATGATTTGTAGACTATGTTTACAGTCGTAGCAAGAACCTCTTCAATCCATTTCTTTCCTAGCGCACTGACATTCCCATCCTGAACGCATCGACTTGCGCTCGTTAGAGCTTCTTTCAGTTTATCATAACGAGTTTCTGGGTCCGCTGCATCGCTCAGCAATATGAACGACTCAAGCGTAAGAAACTTGCGGGACGTCAATGACACAATCCTTGGATTGTTTCCATTTCCAGATAGAGCCTCTTGGTATGAAATGTCAGCCTTATTCCCAAAGGCTACACAGTATTGAGGATTTTCTCTTGCCTCAGCAAGAAGCCTGTCTCCCTCATCGATGCACTTCTGCCACTTTGGTTCGTTGAGTTCTTCTGAGTTGCATTCATTGAATTGAATTCCATCAGACTGCCAGACGATTCTTGTATCATCCTTCGATTGGTTCTGACAAGAAGAATCAAACAAGACTCACAAACATGTAGGGAAAAGACTTGCAGTCAAAAAAGTAGTCAGACATGACAAGGAAATCAAACATAAAGAAAGTTGAGATGGATGGACAAAACAAGACATGTTGACGAAGTACATGAATGAGAGTTAGTACCCGATCTTCGCAGCTTGAGTCTTCATTGATTTGAGTAAGTTTCTCTACTTCTGAAACATATGTGCTTGCACGATGATTCGATTCAATGCTTGTGACAGAACCCATCGGGATGGTAGATAGATCACTCTCGTCTACAGATATTGTTATGGTTTTTCCGCATGGGCCGAACTCGCCAGCTTTGTCCAGAAAATACATAAGAGAGTCAGTGCTGTATGTACCCATTACCCTTCGTCTGTGAATATATTGAGCAGCTGCTGCTCCCGCACCTAAGAACAGAGCTCCCCCTCCCAAAAACAAAAGAGAAGATGCCATAAAACCCTCCACGGCCATTGCAGAGCCGGCAACGGCAATGCCCGATACTGAAGACATATCAAGGCTCCATTGATATTCCGTGGTGAATTTGCTTTCAGCGAAGTCTACAATGAATCCTTGCAGTGCCATGGGAGTGACAGAATCGCTGCCATTTCTGAGCCGAAGAAGCCTGGGAATGAAGTCTGAGCCATACACGTAGTTGCGGACTTCAAGCGGCTTCAACGCCTCCTCCGTCATGCCCTTCCCCAGCACCAGCGGAGCCCCGAAGGTCACAACCTCCTTGTAGTCCGCTTTGATACTCGTTGACAGATGTAACGCTGCGCATGCAAGAGCAAGTGCCCCCCCATCAGAGTGTCCGCAGTAAACCAACCTCACAAACTTCATCTTCTCAAGCTTCTCGGCAATAAGCTCATGACAGACTTTGTGGTAGTCCGCGCCCTTCTCTCGTATTGCTACGTACAGCTGCTTGCTGTAGGCGTCATGCATCTCAACTTGATGCTGTTTTGAGCTTCCGATGCTTCGAGATGATGTTGGGATGACAAAGTTGGAGCAAATCTCAGAAAGCGTCGGATTGGGTGTACCTCGAAACACAACAATCACATTCTGATCTTTTCGCAAGATTGCAAAGCTTGGTAATGACGGATTCTGTTCCACATGTAAGTACTCCAGCGCAAACTTCTTTTCTTTTTCTAGGTTTTCCTTGAAGTCTTTTTGCTCTCGATATATCTCTGCTGAAAGTCTTGCGCAGCATAGATCTTTAACCGCACGCTTGTGCGAAATTTTTTCCATTTGGATTTCCCTTTGCTTCAAGTACTTGACTTTATCTTTCTCGCGTTGTTTTCGCTCCTCCTGACGCTGCTTCTCCCAATCGAGGATGCGCTGAGCATGTATAGTCACGAGGTCATGGAATCTTATCGTCTGAGGAATGCGAAAATTGATTGACTCAGACCAGATGCTCAACCATTCATGCAGATCTTCGAACTGATGTCTGCTCAGCTTCTTCTCTGTCTCGTCATCGCTATAAATATAGTGGCAATCAAGGAAAAGCATTTGCTGTTGGCACAGCGACTCAACGACGTGTGCAGGGACTGTATGGATCCCTCCATCCCCTCCGTCTCTCTGAAGGAAGGCTTTCAGTTGCTGCTTATACCAATGTTTCTGGGCCTCTGCTTGCAGCTGTCTCTGCATGATTGGTGACCCAACTGCTTCCTGGACCATAGCATGCAGGTTGTCACGTGCAGCTTGTTCAAGAAAACGCTCTCTTGCCCTCAATTCTTTAGTGCCCAATGAGAATTGGTTACGGATGATACACAACCTCGTCAGAGTCTTATCTTCTCCCTCCATCATCGCTTCTGATACCAAGGACATCAATCTCCGCAAAGCTCCATCCATTCGAGCATTGGACACGACCAGTAAAATCGCGTGAAAGGCATTGTTGTTGATGTGTTCACGAATGCGATCGAAGTTCTGTTCATCTTCGCACTTCCCATCTGAGTCGTTTATCCCTGGTGTATCGCAAACACAAATCTTGATGTTGTTCTCATCCCCGAGATAATAGCCCTCCTTCTCTTCGCAAATCTTCGTTTGCGAAGCATAAGATCCGCTTGTCGCAAAGGGTTCAGTCCCTTTGTCCAGCCTCCCCGTGAGAAGAAAGTTACCGAGAGTCGATTTGCCCGAGCCAGTATCTCCGAGCAGCAAAACTCTCCGAGGAACTTGGAAGGATTTCTTCCGGGCCTCTACAAGCAGGTCGATCGACTCCTTTTTGCTTCTGTTTGATAAATTCTTATACAAGCTCTGGCAGTACGAAGAGATATTATTTCTCGTCGCTCATCAAGGAAGGATAATTGCTCACCCTTGATTTGCACATGTCCTGCAGTATCCTCAGATCCTGACTCTCGAGCTCTTCCCGGTATCGCTGCAGCCTTGTTTTGCTGTGGGACCAGTGTAAGGCTTTTTCCATCCGTGCAATGAGTCCAGCTTGTTGCTCGCGTTAGTTTTGCTGGGATGCAGCTATATTCTGCAAACCGGGATTCTCGTCTTGGACATCTTGCTCTCCGTCATGTTGTCCTTCATTTTCGAGATCAGAGCCTGCGGGTAAACTGATGATCTTTCCCTGAGGAATACTCAAAGTTAGCACGGACAGTTAGCACAAAACTTTCACATTGATCTGTGACGAGTCTGTCTGCTCTGATGATGAAGCAGCTACAAACCCCTTGGGCTTGCCTTCTGACGGTGCAGATCCATCTTCACCCCCGTGCATGCCTCCTGATCTCGGTGCTGTACCGCTCGTTTCCTAGCTGCTGGATGAAATAGGAAAAATAGGAGGCCATCTATATAATTGTAAGGGCCAAAGCTACTACGACGAGGTCCTAGCTATGCCGGTTATAGGAAGCCTTAGCCTTCCAAACAAGAAAGTACTTGAAGGCGATCAATAGATCCTTGTGAAGGTATCAATTAAGTTTGGGGGACAGCAGTCGGCAGGATTAGGTTTGGTTCTCGCTGTCTTTTCTCTTCTCGCCGTTTGGCCTGTGCGACAGTGTCAGGGTCAGGCCTCCTCGACTCTCCTGATTGTCCTCGTACTGATTTTAACTTAACTTTGAGTAAAAAGATCCTTGTGTACGTATCCCATTGCTTCTGACACAGTTGTCAGCACCGTTTACCGGATGAATCTCCTCAGTGATCTCGTCTCGCCCCGGGGCCGGCCGGACCGTATGGCAGCCTGCCAGTGCGACAGTGCCTTTACTCAAGCATGGGTTAATCCTGGACCGTACTTTTGAGCTTCCGATGCTTCGAGATGAAGTTTTGATGACAAACGGCCCAGGCACGGGCCCGCGGCCTGGCACAGTGAAAATGAAAAGTTGCCGGGTAGCTCACTCCGAAGTTCTTCAATTTCCCCAGTGCGCGTCAGCTCAAAGGCCTCCCTGTCCTTCGCTGCCACTGGCATCATCGCGGGTGCCGAGTGCGTTCCGAAGTTCCGGTATGCGTCTGGGCGCCCCCCCGGGCCGCCCGGCCGCCGGGCCCGTGCCGGGCAGCTTGCCGGGTCTGGTCGTCGGCGAGGGGATGAGGTCGACAGGCATGGGGAAGAGAACGAGAGAGCGGTCGATGGGGGGGAAGAAGGAGGAGGGAGGCGAAGTGGAGGAGACCATGCGCGATCTCTTCGAGCTAGTGAAGGTAAGCATGCTCTTTCCACATGGTCCGGACAGAATCTTCAGCCCTTCCTCGTCCTGATCCTTCACCCCTCAGTTCTCCTGCTCTCCATAGTGCAGTACTTTACCCATGATCCTCCTTGTTTCTCCTGGGTGTATGACGACGGTTCTGTCTTGCTTCTCCAGGAGGCAGGTACAAGCGCAAACGAGAAGGATCTTGGTACAGGGAGAGCGAAGAGCTTGATCTCCAACATCCAGTCGATGATGGGGCAGGCGCAGAGCTCGAAATCTGTCTCCACGGTGCTGCAAGCGGTGAGAGCATGGCGACAAAGATTGTTCTGCTCAATGAAGCTCCATGCAGGTTGCAGCTCAATGCAGCGATCCCGATGGATCACGAGCCGTCAAGATCATCCTTGGTGTGCTGAGCAAGTCGGACATCACCTCAGTACGGATTTTGTGGTGTTTGGGACGAATTCTCGCCTCCATGCATAACGAGCAGACTTCAGCATTCCACGAGGAGATTGTCAAGGTGAGGAGAGAAATCAATCATCCTTCCTCTCCTGTCTTCTGTCCCGTTCGATCTCGTGGTGACCCGATGGTCGCAGGCGCTGCAGGTGATCATGCAGCGGGTAGAGGGGAAGGCAGAGCTGGAGACGCTTCTTTTTGTCGTCGTCTGCCAGGTCCTCTTCGTCTCGGAGGATCAGACGAGAGGCTCTGACGTCATCGTGGGCTCAGGCGTGCGAGAGCAAGATGGGGATGGAGCGAGTCTCGAAACACAGTGAGATGGGACATCAAGCACACCATGCTGGGGAAGAGCGACCGGAGAAACATTCCCATCATGGCGTAGACGACGAGAGGATCTTCGAAGCAGACAGGAAGATGCTGAGTGGTTTTACCTCCTCGTCGCCTCCACGCATCCATGCTGATCACCCTGTTGGAAGGAATCATCGGGATGGGAGAGCACAGCGGGGGAGCGCGGGACATTGCGAGTGGGCAGGACGCGGAGGACGACGTTGAGATGCAAGATGCCGCGAGGCAGTCCGAGAGCAACTCGACACTGGTGACTTACTCTCACACGTTGCCCTGATCCACGGTGACCCGAGCTTGCAAGGTCTGGAGGGAGAGGCTGATTTCTATCTCCTCCCTGGCGCTCCTTGGCCCTTCCCCGCGGACTCTACAGGCACGCTGACCCTGTTGAGCTCCCATTCGGTGACTGACCCGACCAAGGTTGTTCATGACATGTGTAAGGACGATGCATCCCTGCTGGATCAGATATGGAGCAGAGCGTACACGGACCATGTGAGTTTGACGCTGAAAGATTGGACGGAGCATTCAATCCCGTTCACCGGCCCCCTACTCTCCCCAGTTGTTTCTTTCCTGAGTCTCCCTTGTCTTGACTTCTTTGGAATTTCCTCTTTTACCGGGCGCGTTGACCCTGGCTATCTGCAGATACTTCTATCGACCAACGGCCACTCCTTGAAGGACAGCTCCCATACCGAGTTCAACGAGGACGCTGACATGCCGCTGATGAAGCTTTCCCTGCATGCTCCATCATTCTGCTCGCTGTTGCTGCCGTGAGCGAATCTCCTGCTCCTGCTCCTCCTACTCCTACTCCTACACCTACTCCTACTCCTGCTCCTCCTGCTCCTGCTCCTCCATCTCCTTCTCCTACTCTTGCTCTTCCTCCTTCTGACACGTTTCAAGTCGATGCATCATCGCCCTGCGGGAAGTTTTGTGCAAGTCAATCGCTTCACAGCGCATGTCCCCTTGCCTTGTGGTACTCAAAGTTCCTGACGTTCTCCTGCCCTCCCCCTTCTCCCCCTTCTCCCCCTCAGTCTCTGCCCGCCTCTTCGCTCCCGGGACCCTCCTTCTCCCTCACCACGATCCTCAATTCCCCTTCTACCTCACCCACCACTACCTCTTGCTAACTTTCACGCCTGCAGACCTTGAGCAAGCTCGTTTCCGAGTGGCTGAATTCGTCTGTTCGATTCCTGTCGACGCAGATCCCCCGAGGTAGCACTATCTTCCCGAGTCTTGTCCTGACTATCACTCCTCCCATTCCCAGTCGTTGACCTCATCTACATCTGCTCCCTGTGGCCTTACGAATTCTACGACGCGAGCGCGAGCGGCAATGCCCTGCTTGCAGACTTCATGATGGGTACTTGACCTTGAGACCTCGCCTCCCTCCTTGGCTGACGAGCTTCCAGCCCTCTCAGATGTTTCCCCTGCGGAGGATCAAGGTCCTGTCTCGCAGGAGGATATAGCGATTGTTAGCAAAGCTATCAAACAGCTGGACGCCCCCCGCAACGAAGTTGCCACGGACAAGCTTGCCCAGGTGCCTCGACATGGCTGATCTTGAGTAGTCACACGAGGAACAGATACTCATCGCAGCGTCTTCCCATGGCTGGATCCGACTATCACAGTCAGACATGGTGAGAGGGAGGAGCAGCTTGGTGTTGATTTCACATGCCTTGCAGGACACTGCAGTGAGTATGCTGGAGAGGAGGCCGATGATGGAGACGTTCATTTCGAGATATCCCATGCTTGTGAAGGGAATGGAAGACAGGAAAAAGTTGGTGTGATGATCGACTCTTTCTCTGTCCCAGCAGTTTGCAGGTAACTCAGAGCATCGTTTTTGAAACAGCTCAGGGCCACTCAGGAGGGGAGATAAAGGTTGTAGGCTGATGGTCGAGGAGGAGAAGGGAGGAAGAGAAGCTTCTTGATATTTTTTTCTGTTTGTAATCCTAACGATGAAACCAAAACGCTTGCTGTCTCCCTGACCTCTTCGCCCGTCAAACCTCAAACCACAGACTCGACATGGTTGTGCGGCCTCCCGAAGTTGTGGGTCTGACGATCCCTAGCAGAGAGCGAGTCAAACGTGTTGGCCAGCAGGCCCTCGGCGTAGTCGTTGATCGTGATGCGGAGGTTGGCGTTGTCGTGGAGCAGGTCCAGCACAAGAGCATGCAAGTCTCGCTCTACCGCCACTGCGTTGATCCGATCCGCCACCACCTTGAGCCTCGCGTTGCTGTCCCTGAAGAAGTTCCTCACCTTGGCCGTCGTGCGCTCAACGGGGGAGGCGAACTCGATGCTGGTCTCAGCTAGCCTGCTCTTCAGGTCAGCCACCTTCCTGATGAACCTCGAGTCGCCGCTCCGCATCTCTCTGAGCCAGCGCTCCGAGATGTACAGGTCCTGTTCTGAGGCCATCTGCCGCAGGCTGGCAGGCTGGTGGCTGGAGGAGGTCGGTTTCCAACCTTGCACTCTCGTCCTCGCCTCCTCCTCTCGCTCATGGAACGACAGGAGCACGTCCCGCGTCTCGGCGATTTCCTGCGCAAGCATCGAGATCTCCTCCATAGCCCTATCCTCCTCAGCGTCGATCTCATGCTTGAGCTGTTTGATGCGCTGCTGCAGCAAGTCTGAATGATCCCCTCCTTCAAGAGTCAGATCATCTCTAAGCTGCTTCAGCCTCAAAACCTCCTTGGCCAAAACGCTCTTGCTCAATGACGCTGCCAACAGTTCCGCACTGACGCGCTCTGCCTGGCTCCCCTCCTCTGGAATCAATGAGATAGGACGATGTTGCTCATCATATCCATTCATCTTGTTCTCCATGTCGAGCAGTAGAACCGTGGGAAACCTTGGCGACTTGCTCGTCTCTCCAATCTACCGCTGTTGCTGTATACACGCTTTGTGCTTCTTTACTTTTGCAATAGTATGCCCCCTCTTTCAGCACTAACACTAATCCGCTCGTTCTCTTCTGCTCCTTCTCTTGCGTCCCTCTCCCTCTTGTCTCCCGCACTACACCACCATTCCTGCCATCCTCTCCCCGCTTCTATTTCTGTCGGGGTAGTAGCGGGGATGAGGCCCCATCTGATCGCCCGCCTCCATGCCCGCCTCAGGTTGCCTTGCATTCTTGACAGGATGCTGGGGGATGCGGGCAGAGAAACGGTGGCATTGTAACCGTAATGCAGTGTAAAGCTCGAAAAGATAGCTTTTCGATTTTACAGCATTGCATCAGCACGGGTTGTTTGCCTGGTCTTTGATGGACATCTGAGGGGTACTTTTTGTCAGTGGGTGGGTGAAAAGTGGTAGAAGGCTAGGGTAGGTGGTTCCGTTACAACCTCTACAAATTTTTAACACCCACCCCACCCCCAAATGGTGATTCTACCGATGTCCCCTTATTTTTCACCCACCCTACATGAATCGGAATATTTCTCTGTAGTGGAAAGTACCCCATGACCCCCCCATGAACAGACCCCCACCCATGTAAAGTTTTCGTGCGATTGTAAACGCAGTGGGCTTTATAACCCAAGTTCAATAATTATATATTTAAGCAGTGCGGTCAAATACTAGTACAAATTCCAGGTTTGGGTAGACTTTTTTGTATAGTTCGAGATTCTGATCAGTATCAGTTTTGAAAATATTAACAGAAATTTAAAGTTATAAAATATTATATATATTTAAAACCTTGTACGAGCTGCACATGAAGAACACCCTGGGACGTGCAACCTGGGGTGCGATGATGAATATGTGGGGTGGGGGTGAAAAGAAGGGGGTAGGGGTAGATACAGACTTGGCGGGTATGGGGTGATTTCCCTTCATTTCATTGGAAAAGCAGGGGTGATGGTTTCAAGAAGGGGCTATTACGGAATGAATCAATCAAAAGTAGGGTCCTCCGAGAGCAAATGGGGGTGGGGGGTCTGAAGAAGGGGGAATCCTAGAATGGCAGAACGAAATGTTGCAACGAGAGAAGATTGTGATGTTTCATGACATCAAACTCGTACATACATGCATTCTAGTGACGTGATGATGTGATTGAACATGTCAGCTTTCATACACACATGAATTTTCAGTTAGTAGACGGGGAGAACGAGATGTGCTAGCCCGATCTGCTTTACTTCACTTGCGACTGCAACGACTTGTGAATTGGGGTTGCTTCATTGCCGATGAACTTTTCGAACATTTTTTTTCATTGTCATGACTCATCTGGTTGAACTTCTCCCTGACCCGGGCGCAGGTGAAGGCCTTTGATCCACCCGCATGCGCGTTGCCTTCTAAAGATCCCAACCATGTCAACGCGATCGGAAGCTAATCAGCATCTCCCATGCCTGCCATGCTTGATCGTGGACAACTATGACAGCTACACCCATAATCTCTTTCAGCTGTGCTGGACAGTCTCGGGGGTTCAGCCGATCGTCATCAAGAATGACGACTACGAGGCGTTTCAGACGCTGTCAGCGAGCAAGTCCTTCTCCTCCATCATCCTCTCTCCTGGTCCTGGTCGGCCAGACAAGCAGGAGGACTTCGGTCTTTGCATGAACGTGCTCAAGGATCCCCCAGTCCCGGTCCTTGGCGTCTGCCTTGGGTTCCAGGGGCTCGGGCATGCGTACGGGATGCAGGTCAACCGAGCTCCGGGAGGAGCGGTGCATGGGCGGACGAGCAAGATATTCCACAACAACTCTCTCCTCTTCCGCGACATCCCGCAGGGCAGCTCGGTGGTGCGGTACCACTCCCTTGCGCTGTGCAGGGCAGACGGGAGCAAAGAACCATTCCCGGTCGACCTCGAGGAGGTGGCATGGACGGCAGACGGGATTATCATGGGTATTCGGCACAGGAAGCTTCCGCTGTGGGGAGTGCAGTTCCACCCGGAGTCCATCTGCTCGGAGTGTGGGGAGAAACTACTGAAGAACTTCCTGGAGATCGTAGAGGAGGAGACTGGTCGGGGTGCCATTGCTAGCGCTCGCTCCCCCTCCAACAACCCTGAGACCTTGGCAGGATTCGGTGAGATGCAGGGGAGCTTGCGGCACCCTGAGGATGCTGGAAGTCTGAGCACGGTGTTCGAAGTCCTGCCGTTCTCGCGGGACGCGGAGGTTGTCTTCGGCTCCTTCTTCGCAGAGGAGGAACACTCGTTCTGGCTGGACAGCAACCGGACAGACGCTGATTCACGATTCTCGTTCATGGGAGGGTCTTCGGGGCCGCTGGCGTTCTACTTGGAGTACTTTGTGAGTGAGAGGAGGGTGGTTGTGGTGAGAAGGGATCGTAGCAGCACGAGGCAGGAGGGCGTCGATCTGTTCTCGTTCATGCAGGAGCACGTGCGGAATCATCGGGTGGAGGGAGGAGACTTTCCCTTCGATTTCTGTGGAGGTTTCGTTGGGTACATCGGGTATGAGCTGAAGGAGATCTGTGAGGATGGGGAGAGGACGAGGAACAGGCATGTATCGGAGGACCCGGACGCGGCGCTGGTGTTTGCTGATCGGTTCCTTGCCTTCGATCACCACGAGGGGAAGTGCTACGTTGTTGCGGTCTCGGAGAGGAACGGGTTCGCCGAGGAGGAGGCAAGGCGGTGGGTCCGGCAGATGCGAGCTGCCGTCCAGGCTCTCGATGCCAGGAGCGAGCACGAGGCCACGGCTCCCGCGATCCCAGTCGTGGACATGGTCGTCGAGTCGTCTGCTGGTGACCTTGGAGCTGCTGGCGATGATGGGGAGGACACGCCGTCTGGCCCGGGAGCGATCTCGATGCCTCCCCTGACGCCCTCTGCCCCTGCGCCCTCCCATGGGCCAGGCTCGGTTCCCAAGGGAGCGTTTCCCCTCATGGACTGTGTGGAGCGGAAGGGAGGGGAGGGCGCGCCGGAGTTCGTGCCGGATGACTCGCAGGTGGAGTACATGAAGAAGATTGACGCCTGCCATGAGTACATCCGGGCCGGGGAGTCCTACGAGCTCTGCCTGACCACGAGGCTACGGAGCCGGTCGAAGATCAACCCTTACAAGTTCTACGGCAGGCAGAGGAGGCTGAACCCTGCTCCTTACTCCGCCTTTCTTCGGCTCTCAGAGCACCTGAGCGTGTGCTCGTCCTCGCCGGAGCGATTCTTGAGGATATCCCGGGACGGGTGGGTCGAGTCGAAGCCCATCAAGGGGACGAGACGTCGGGGCCTGTGCCCGGAGGAGGACGTGGAGATCGCCAGGGAGCTGCAGCTTTGTGAGAAGGACAGGGCGGAGAACCTGATGATCGTCGACCTGGTCAGGAACGACCTCGGGCGCATCTGCCAGACCGGCTCGGTGCACTGCCCGAAGCTCATGAGCATCGAGAGCTTCACCACGGTCCACCAGCTAGTCTCCACCATCCGCGGCCAGCTCCTCCCCCAGCTGGACGCGTTCGACTGTGTCCGTGCGACGTTCCCCATGGGTTCCATGACAGGGGCACCCAAGAGACGATCCCTTGTCCTACTGGACGAGCTGGAAAGCAGCGCAAGGGGTATCTACTCCGGCAGCATCGGGTACTTCTCCCTCAACGGCGCGGCGGATCTTTCCGTGTGCATTCGCACGGGAGTGTTCAACAAGGAGGGGATGAAGCTTGGGGCAGGGGGGGCGATCACCATCCTGTCCAAGGCGGAGGAGGAGTGGGAGGAGATGCTGCTGAAGACCAAGGCGTTGGTGCAGTGTGCTCGGACGTTTTGTGCTGCAAAATGAAATTTTTCCTGATGTTGTACGGTTGCATATCTTGCTGGGTCAGCCCGGGTCCCAGGTATCCAGTCTGTCTTCCTCCTCCTTGGGTGGTTCTTGAGAGATAGTGAGAGACCAAGAGGACTTGGAGGAGGAGAAGAGAGAGGGAGAGGCCGCAGGGAGGAAGAGGGTAGCAGAGGAGTCGTCTGGGGGGGGAAAGGGGGAAGGATGGGATCGTACCTTGCTCTTTGCTGGTTTCGGAAGTTTGAAAGGAGAATTCATGCTCGCTACTGAGAGAGTCAGCAATGTCTGCTCGCACCAGTCCTCGCGCTCCCTCCAACCCTCGTTTGCAGTGACACTCGTCCTCCTTGTCTGCTATCACCTATACCATATCCCACTACAGCTGCTTCCTCCTGCACCTCCGATGCCACTTCAACCCCTCAGGAAATCTCCCCCATTCACTCTCTCCCAACAACCCTCCTACATCTTCCTCACCTCGATCCTTTCTCCTCGCTGGACGTGAGCGCTGCAATGCTGTCTCTCTCGGGCTCGAACATCGCAACATGGGGGTGGGCGACGATGTTGGAGGAGCTCGACTCCTCCTGCGAAGCAGATCCTGCTGCCTTTCGCTTCTCCTGCATGCGCCTCTGCCTCTCCCTCAGGAGGCTCCAATGGGATGGAACTCCCAGCCCCTGCGCCAGGGCCTCCTGCTCCTCCTGCTCCTCCTTGCTCAAGGGTGCCTGCACAACGGTGCAGCTCTCGTCCCGGAACTCGTAAGGGCGGAAGTTTGATAGCCAGAGCTTGCCT